TGTGCCGACCGTTCACGAGCCCTTTTGATAAAGAATTTCATAATACACTTTCTTTGAAATACATTAAAATACATTAAAAATGTATATCATGCCAAACTGATTTGCTAACAGTTTCTTTTTTCTTCTTCTTCTTCTTCTTCTTTTGGCTGCTCCCTGCGTTAGGGGTCGCCACAGCAAACTAAGTCGTACGAAGACATGGCAGTTATTTTTATGTCGGATGCCCTTCCTGACACAACCACAGACCACTGAGCTACCACAGCCCTCTGTGTGGAACAGAGAGCTGCTATCTAGGACACCCGGGGGAGCAGATGGTGGGGGTTAAGGGCCTTGCTCAAGGGCCCAGAGTGGGACGAATGAGGGTGGGGCTAGTTGTGGGTGCTTCACCTACCCCACCCACATTTTTGATGTTGTCGGTACCGGGGCTTGAACTGGCGATCTTCCGATCACAGGCCCACCTTCTCTAACCTCTGCGCCACTACTCCCATTTGCTTACAAAAGCAGTAAAAGATTAATAAAAAAAAAGTTGTAGTTTTTCAGGCTCAGGCTTGTGATTACAGTTATTTGGTTGGTTTTGGGTCGAGCTCGGGAAAAATTATATGGGTTCGGGCCGGGTCGGATTTTTTAGGCCCGAATGCAACTCTATCCAGAACTAGCTGTTTACATGATAAAGGAGGACCATCAGCCCCCTGTGAATAGCAAGCAGCCATCAGGGCACTAAAGATCGGTCGTTAGACTGATGGTCCATGTGAACATCTAGTTCTGGATGTTAACATCAAACTGGTTGATCCACTATGAGAGGGTGATATTTATAAGACTGAATTTGTTGCAGCTCCTCAGACTGAAGAAGTCCTTCGGATAAAAGATGACATGTTTCTACAAGAAGAATCTCCCCAGAGGACTTGACGTAACCTTGTTAGATAGAGATTACAAATTTTGCCAAGAAATGAGCAGCAGCTCCAAAGGCGATTCGTAGATATTTTGACTTTTTATTTTATTTTTGTTCTTTGGAAAACTTTGACTCATTTATCCCTGATAAAACCTCGACATGGAGCTATCTTGGTTTTTATTGGCTGTCCACTCCTACCTGCTTTTTTCTGGGTTCCTGCTCCACGCTGGGTGAGGCAGCACAGCTGGTGGTGGCAGATTTTGTGGAGCAGTGGTCCCGACTGCTGTAGCGATCACAGGAGTAGTAACGCTGCTTGTCTGCAGAGAAGTGATGGTGTTTCCTCTCATGGGAGCGTCCTCGTTTGTGGGCTTGCTCTCTGGAAGCAGCTGGTTCAGATCCTAGCTCACCTGCTGCACCTGCAAGGAAGAAAGTTTGACAAGTTGACAAAGTTTGACCTTCCTTAGGAGAGCTGCATTAGATTTTCAATTAGAGTGGTAGGAAAAGCACAAGTTACAAACATTGTCAACAAAGTTATGATGTCCTGTTCAACAGAGGTAAACCCTCCAGACCTTCAGAGAAGGCCCATTAATTAAATTAATTAATTAATTTAATTAATTAAATTTAATAAGCAACCTGCAGATGTTGTACGCTGTCTATCTATGCACTAAGATTCATAACTGTCTAACTATCGTACCCATCACTGCACCCTGTATTCAATGGTTAATTGGTCATCATTAACTTCATGCAGACTCTCCCACTGGTGTATTTTCATCTTTAAATCACTTCTTGGTCTGTTGCCTTCATATATCTCTTCCTACATGTCACTTTGTCAGTGCAGTTACAGCGTGTGCTCTCAGGACATTATTATCTGCAGTGTTCCCTCAGTGCTGACTGAACTAGACAAAAAAGCCTTCTCCTACTCCGCTCCTGTTTTCTGGAATATTTTGTAAAAAAACCTGAAGCTCTCGACCTTGACCTCTCTAAGTGACTTCAAACAACTCATGGCAAAAACCAAAGCAGACATGTTCCTGTTTTTAGTTTTCTACATCGCTTTATAACCTAGCTGTTTTTGTTTCATTTTTTAATTTTCTTTCATTTATTCTTCTCAATTTATATGCTTCCTTTTATGATTGTCCACTGTTGTCATCATTCTTTGTTTCAAACAGATTTCTCTCCCAGTGCTGGCGGCAGCTCTATTTTTTTTTTTCACAAGTCAAATCCTCTGGGCCACCTGTCAACCCAGTAGGTGTGTCAGCAACGTCAATTTGTCCCGAAGGTAAATGCCCCTTACTTGCAGATATACAGCCCATGGTCAGAAGGATTTCATGAAAAATCAACAGAAAAAAATGTTTAAACTTTGTCAGTGAGAAAAATGTTATACAGACACATGAGTTTGGAAAAATGTAAAGATGATAAAGGCCAGCAGCCAACATGGCAGTTATAAACAGGAAGTACCACATATTGGTCTGTACGAAGGTAACTGCAGGTAAATCCTCCATTGTCTGCCATAATTACATTGTATGCTTAATGTTTTAATTTAAGGTTAATGCTTAAAGTTAGTTGTATTTTGTTTTGTGTGTTTTATATGTACAAACCGGATTCCAAAAAAGTTGGGACACTAAAAAAAATGTGAATAAAAACTGAATGCAATGATGTGGAGGTGCCAACATCTAATATTTTATTCAGAGTAGCACACAAATCACAGATCAAAAGTTTAAACTGAGAGAATATATCATTTTAAGGGAAAAATCGGTTGTTTCCAAATTTCATGGTGTCAACAAATCCCAAAAAAGTTGGGACAAGTCCATTTTTACCACTGTGTGGCATCCCCCCTTCTTCTTACAACACTCAACAGACGTCTGGGGACAGAGGAGACCAGTTTGTAAAGTTTAAAAATAGGAATGCTCTCCCATTCATGTCTAATACAGGCCTCTAACTGTTCAATCGTCTTGGGCCTTCTTTGTCGCACCTTCCTTTTTATGATGCGCCAAATGTTCTCTATAGGTGAAATATCTGGACTTGAGGCTGGCCATTTCAGTACCCGGATCCTTCTCCTACGTAGCCATGATGTTGTGATTGCTGCAGAATGTGGTCTGGCATTATCGTGTTGAAAAATGCAGGGTCTTCCCTGAAAGAGATGACGTCTAGATGGGAGCATATGTTGTTCTAGAACCTGAACATAGTTCTCTGCATTAATGGTGCCTTTCCAGACATGCAAGCTGCCCATACCACAAGCGCTCATGCAACCCCATACCATCAGTGATGCAGGCTTCTGAACGGAGCGTTGATAACAACTTGGGCTATCCTTGTCCTCTCTGGTCCGGATGACATGGCGTCCCAGTGTTCTTCAAATCTTGAACTTCAAATCGTGACTCATCTGACCACAGAACAGTCTTCCATTTTGCCACACTCCATTTTAAATTACCCCTGGTCCAGTGCAAACGTCTAAGCTTGTGGAGCTTGCTTAGAAATGGCTTCCTCTTTGCACTGTAGAGTTTCAGCTGGCAACAGCGGATGGCACGGTGGATTGTGTTCACTGACAATGCTTTCTGGAAGTATTCCTGAGCCCATTCTGTTATTTCCTTGACAGTGGCATTCCTGTTTGAGGTGCAGTGACGTTTAAGGGCCCAGAGATCATGAGCATCCAGTAGAGTTTTACGGCCTTGACCCTTACGTACAGCGATTGTTCCAGATTCTCTGAATCTTTTGATGATGTTATGCACGGTTGATGATGATAACTTAAAAGTCTTTGCTATTTTACGCTGGGTAACACCATTCTGGTATTGCTGCACTATCTTTCTGTGCAACAATTGGTGATCCTCTTACTATCTTGGCTTCTGAGAGACACTGACACTCTGAGAAGCTCTTTTTATACCCAATCATGTTGTCAATTGACCTAACTAGTGTTAATTGGTCTTCCAGCTGTTTGTTATATGCTCAATTTCCTTTTGCCAGCCACTTATTGCTACTTGTCCCAACTTTTTTGGGATTTGTTGACACTGTGAAATTTTGAATCAACATATTTTTCCTTTAAAATGTTACATTTACTCAGATTAAACTTTTGATCTGTCATCTATGTTATATTATAAATAAAATTTTGACATTTGCCATCTCCACATCATTGCATTCAGTTTTTATTCACAATTTGTTTAGTGTCCCAACTTTTTTGGAATCCGGTTTGTAGATATACGTTGTAACTTCTGGTTGCACAAGTTTAGTCTTTGTTTGTCATTATCAGTTAAAACTAAACTGATATGTACAAAGTGCTGTGTAATGTAAAAATTACACCCTTACATAATGAATTTCACTGTGAGTTCTTGCCCTGTGTTGCTCTGTGGCATGAAAACATCCACTGCAGTAACTATTTAAAGTTATTAGCAGCTTAGATTTTTTTTTCCTGTCTTATTTGCCTTAATGTTGGCTGATAAGGCAGAAATGCCTCAATAAATGCCTCCAGTAATGCCATGAGCTTCACTACCTCCACCATTACAGCTATCTTTGTTAGTTTGTCCGAGGTTAACTCAACCTAGGTTACATTTCCTCGTGGGTAGAGCGATCTTACAGTTCATGTAAAATATCTAATAATGTTCTTATAGAAACAATTCCTAAATGTTGTTCATACTGTGTTAATGCTACATGTTTGTCTCTTTACCCTGCAACTGCGTAAGGCTACTGTAGACCTAGCCAATTACTGGAGTTTTAATTAGGTATTTTAAGCTACTAATAAACATGATGGATGGTCATCATATTGCTTTATGCTAGGCCATTTGTAAGAAGTTGAGATTATTATTATATTTTCATATTGTCTAGTGATATTTTTCCTCTAAAAGTTAACTTAGGCTACACTATATGCTTCTTAGACTGTGGCTAGGATGCTGAGAGAAGTGGCGCGTGCTCTATTCACACAAGGAGAACTGTTGGTCAGGCTACTTCTGGTTCTGCCATTAACTCTAAAATATTTATTGAATCAAGTGTTACTTCTGTAGGTAAAACTAGATGTTAAACGACCTGATAAAATACACCCTAATACAGGAAATATCATCTACTGTATTCAAAATTTTCTTGGGGAGGAAACCCCAGACACCCCACCATTGTGTCCCCCACACATTACAAATGGTTCTGACACCAATGGTCACCACGTTGTTCAAGCCAAGAGCCATTGTCAGAACTAGGGGCTAAGCACCCCTAAAGGGCAGATTATAGAACCAAACCTAATCAAGTGTTTGAGGCCAGATGGACAACTTGCTACTCACAGAAACAGCCTGAGGACAAACAAGGCCAAAGTGGTTCAGAAAAAGGGGTAGCAAGTTCAGTCATCCAAGATGGCATGTTGGCCATCTGGCCTAAAACATTTGATTGTTGTACATGATGATTGATTGTTTAGATGGGTGTGTTCTGCACGTGTTAAAAGTCTACTTTTGAGATCCCAACAAGAAGTTGGCTTGAAACACAGCAGTGAAGGCTACCTATGGGACAGATCTGGTTGGCAGGCTGTCAACTGACAAAGGCCTCTGGATGGGAGATGAAACATTTCTCACTTAAATAAACTGGTCCAGATAACATGATTTAACCTTTTTTGTTTTTAAAATTGAATAGTTTTCATTTGATACTATTGCTATTTTTACATGTGATTCCTGACCTGCCATTGTGTATCTGTTCTTACCAAACCCAGCCGGTTGAAGCAGATGATTGCTTGTCCTGAGCCTGGCTCTGCTAAAGGTTTCTTCCTCATGAGGGAGTGTTTCCTTTCTACTGCCACCTTCATGCTTGTTCAAGATGATAGTTCTATGATGGAGATAAATTCAAAGCAGTCTACTCCTCAGATAAATTAGTAACTTATTTTTTATGTATATAAAGGTATATAAATGTTTCTGATCATTGCTCTGAGATGACTTGTGTTGTGACTTGGCACTATATACATAAACTGAATTTAATTGTTTATAGCATGTTATTATATATATTCTATGATAGCCCGCTTTGTATTGGACACGATGCATGCAGAGATCCCTGACAGGTTCAACAGGAGCACACAGGGTTAGTTTGACTCTTCACACCAACCAGACAAACTGGAGGGCTGACCACATGGAGGGGTATCCAAAGACCTCTGCCTCTTCTCTCTGTCCCGTTTTTTTTCTCTGTCTTGATCTTTGCAGTGGTGGCAGCGGTGGTGGTGGCGATGATGTCTTCGCTCCTGGCGGGGTTTCTCCAGAGTGTAGTCTCTCAGGTTGACCTCCTGGGGATGCTGTGGAGCCACAGTGGAGACTGAGCGTGTCATGAGGCTGGTATCAGTGGCAGACTGAAGAGAAGAAGTTCAGTGAGAATTACGTCAGGAGAAAGTTCTACATAACTCCATCCTCCAAATATGACTACAAACAAAGATTTAATTGTTGTCAGAAATCAGTTATGGTCAAAATAAATCAGCTTTTGAACTTTTCTTTTTAAAAAAAGAAAAAAATGCTTTATTGTGAAAGGGTAATCTTTTTTTTTTCCAGAGTATTTAACTGCGTAATTAAATTTGCAATGTAAAATAAGTGATTACATAAATGGGAGGCTGTGGCTGAGTGGTTAGAGCAGTCGTCCTTCAATGCAAGAGTTGGGGGTTCGAACCCCACAGCAGTCACATGCCGAAGTGTCCCTGGGCAAGACACTGAACCCCTCATTGCCTCAGATGTGTGTCCCATTGGTGTATGAATGTGATAAATCACTGATTGGTCTCTTTAGAATGATTTGTTCAATTAGCTTTGTAGAGATCAAGTAGAGTGCTGTATGAATGGGTAAATGAGGGCACAGATTGTAGTGTAAAGCGCTTTGAGTATCTCAATAAGATAGAAAGGCGCTATATAAGTTCAGTCCATTTACCATAAATAATCACTCCATTTATAATCCTTCCATCCATCATTTTTACCTGCTTATTCCTTTTTGAGCCGCGGGGGTCACATCCAGTCCATCACAGGGACACCCTGGACAAGTCTCCAGTCCCTCACAGGGACATATAGAGACAAACAACCATTCACTCTCTCACTCACATTTAGGGACAATTTAGTTACCAATCAGCCTAGCATGCATGTTTTTGGTCTGTGGGAGGAAACCGGAGTGCCCGGAGAAAACCCACACAGCACGGAGAGAACATACAAACTCCACCCAGAAAAATCTGGGAGTTGAGCAGGTGACCTTCTCGCTGAGAGGTTGCCCTGATTTTACGAGAGAGTGGCAAAGACTGAAAACACAGAAAACCCATTTGAAAATCTACAATCCATACAGACCCTAGACAAAAATTAATAATTTGTTTTAAATTAAAAATATGTATTTAGCTGTTTTTATTTTTTTGTAAAGAAGGACAATTTATTTTGACCATGATTGATTTATTACTCCATTCTACCAACACTCGTGAACAAGACTACCAAGTATGTATATTCCTCCTTTGAATGGGAGACTTACCACTGAACCAATAGATTTTTAAAGATTATCGGAAGCTAACACTAAAGCTCTAACATCTATCACCCACTGTTGTCTCTGACTCTGCAAGACTCTCTGTAATGTAACAACGTTGTAAGTGAACTCAACTCAAAACGGTTCATAAATCACAAATAAAGCATTCCTGTCCATGTCCCACATTAAAAACATTACTAGAACTAGAAAAAAAAAAGAAACTGTCCAGATGACCTGACTGAAAAATGTTGGATTGTATACCTGGATTATTGAGCATGGACTTTG